TCTTCCACATGCAGGCCGGAATGGCTCTGATTTTGCGAGCAGGAGCCGGAGCACGCCGACAAATCCTTCACTGTCTCCCCACACCAGGGCCATCCGTCTCTTTGGACAAAGCTTATGAAGTCAATTTTACGCTGTCCCGTTTGATTCCAGCTCCGGGCCCAGATGCCTCCTGTGGAGACACAAAACACACACGCACATGCATACATGCAGTATTGATACACACATGTGCAGTGCTGTGTAAAATCAGAGACCACCTTTCATTGATATGGCTTCAAGTCAAAACAGCCATCAAGCGCAAGTTGTTCAGATATTTCTGAGATTAGATATAAAAAATTATCCACCTGCATAAGGAAGGAGAAAGTCAAAGGAGAACACCAAGTTTCCAAAACAGATTAAAAGGTAAAGCCCACAACCATGCAAGACCTGGTAGACCACCAAACAGTCCCTGTCAGACAAACAGCACTTAAAGCCTTCATCTTTGAGAGATCTGAAAACATCCGCAGCCATCCTTCCACTGTGAGAAGACGACTCAGCGCTATGGGTCTGAAAGGATGTGTAGCTGTCAAGAAGCCCTTACTGAGAAAAGGAGACAAAGAAGCTGAACAATGGACTGACCACCCCAGAGTCCAGACCTCAACATCACTGAATGTGTGAAAATATATAAACGTTTTACTTTGGAGGTGTGGAAAAATATCCCTGCTTTTTTCTTTGAGAAACTGGAAGACAGTTTTCTGAAAAGAATGGAGGCTGTAGTAAAAGTAAAGAGAGGGACACAATAAATACTGAGAAAAGTGGTATTATATTTAGTTGTCGAGGCTTCTGTGTAACTTTTCTTAATATCTTCTTTTTTGTGACACTAAAAAATGACTAACTTGTAATTGATAGGTATTTTGACTGGAAATCAAATACATGGATGGTGGTCTCTGACTTTTGCACAGTACTCTACATCCATGTGGTCTGTTCTTACACATCTTCGTGTATATATATATATATATATATATATATATATATACACATAAACACACAATACACAGTGTACTATATATATATATTCAGAAACAAAACCTTGTATCTCCATTTTTGACATTTTTACAGTTTTTGACATAATTTGAAAATGCCTTTTCTCCTTTACATTGTGTTTCATGATGAATGGACTAAAAGAAACAGCCCCAAATTACTTGGAAAAATCTCTGGCTCCACTGACTTCCATTAAAAGTAGAGTATGTGTTTTCCTTACCATTTTAGAGATGGCAGCAGCGAAATATAGATATATTGTATATTGTGTATGAGTCTGTCTATATATATATATATATATATATATATATATATGCAATATAGATTGTGTTGAATACACGTACATATATATAAATATATATATATATAGTCCAAAGAAAAACAAGTATCCGAAATGGCAGCTTCACAGGACAAAGCGAAAACATTCTTTACTTTTAGTAAAAGGTCATTTAAAGAGCCCATTCATTATGACAAAATCATTTTAGGCTCAAATGATATAGAAACATGAAAATCACAAAACTTGTGATACATGGGTTTTTTGGACAAATTATATATATATATATATATATATATATATATATATGTATATATATATATACACATATATATATATATATATATATATATATAATGTGTGTGTGTGTGTGTGTGTGTGTGTGTGTATTGTACACACATTTTTCTGCTTTTGAAAAATGAGGCATTCTATTTTTTGGTCATTATGGAATCTTCTGCAGCTCAGTTCATCATTCTGGACACATCTAACATCTTTTTTAATTTTAACCTATGAAGTTGCAACAGAGCTAACGCATCTCAATTGTTCTGTAACTGTTTTTGCACCAGAATTGGTTTTATTTTCTTAAAAAACGCTGATTGCAAACTTTTGAACAGTGGTGTACATTTGTGAGGATCATTCATGCTCAAACAGACGCATATATTACACATATTTACATAGTATCTATCTGTGTAGACGCAGACTTGCATCATCCCACTATTAACACAAACACGGTGAACGAGTGTGGCCGTTTCTGCAGTACATACCTTTGTGTCCTCACAAATGAGAGAGAGAGTGCAGATAGCCATCTCCCTGTGATACTTTGCAGTGTGTCACTTTGTTGCCCATTACGGAGATTTATCTGGTCTCTGAGCCACTGTAGATCACAGAGGTCCCAAGGAGGGCTAATCTTCAGCAGGCAGGCGTTACTGCCCTGTATTTATTGGGTCCCTTATTCTGTTGACCAGAGCTTTCAGTGCAAAAGTAACTCAGCAGAGACGCCTTAGCAGCACAAGCTTCGCAAAAAAAGACTTATTCAGAGGCCCTTTTCTTTTTCTCTCCCTCTCTCTCTCTTCACAAGTGACAAAGGTAACTCAGCCAAGCTATTAGGCTCTCAAATCCAAACCAAATAGTCATGTGAGCAATGTTTCGCTCACCCCCTTTCGCTCCCCAAATGCTTTTCGCCCGATGATTGAAGCTCCCGAGTCGTGTGCAGATTTCCTCTGCCAGGTTCAACAGCCATCGAGCCATTGGTTTGGGAGTCCGTCATCACATCAGCCGATGGTTTGGAGATTGCCGGGGGAGGGGTTGAGGCTGCGGCCCTCCGCTTTGTTCTTTTTATGGATGTGAATTTACAGTAACTTGAATCATTAAATAACAAGCTCGTTTGTCTCCGCATGTGCAGATAGTTTAGGAGTGGCAGAATTTAAACAGTAAATCCTTCTTGTTATCCAAGATGGATAACCGGAGCATGTTGCTGGGCACCGAAGCGTGGTTCATTTCGAGTTTGCTTGAAAGCAGAGACTAAATTCGTTTACCACTTCACCTGCATGGTGCAGGTTTTGGCACCGAAAAGGCAAGATGCTCCGCTAATTTGAGCCTGCTGTTTCAAAATGCATGCTATGCCCATCTGCATTCAGTTTAACTCTATCTGTACTCTATAGTGCTGGAAGCATTGTTTCTGTAACTGGTCATTCTGTTGACCTGTTCTGTTGTAACTACCAGATGACGGAAGTGCTTTTGGTTTAAATTTAAATTGATGCATCAAAGAGTTCTTTTTTTATGGTCCATTAAAGCAACAGAAGTCTATCACCTCCAGCACTTCCTGTAGTGTATTGCAGTATGTCAGAATAGCTGCACGTGCAACCGTATGTGGCACCCTGGTCAAATTACATGTTTTGTTAATACTTCGTCTACAGGGAACTTGAAATGTTTGCATTTTTCTGGAAAATTTGGTGCACGATTTCTGTTTATTTGCTGAGTTTAACGTATTGGAAAAAAACATAACATACATATGCTGTCACTTTTGCCAAGGCCATGTTTTATCCCAATATATTAAATTCACCAAATAAACAGTACCTGTGCGAAATGTGTAGAAGTGTCTTCTCCGTAGAGGAGGTGCTAACTTATTTTCACATGGAAAATCAACAAAACATGTAATTTGACCAGGGGTGCCAAAACTTTTGCATATGACTGTATACTCTGGATATGATCATTACAATAGGGAGAGAAAATAGGGAGAGAATAGTGAGAGAAAAAGTCAATACAGTGTAGCATCACAGTATTTTCGGTTTAAAGTAGTATAGAAACACTCTGGCCCAAGGATAGATATTTACTTATTCATGCTTTAAATGTGTATTGGTCACGTTGTTAGGCCATTTCATGACCAAAATCTCCACGTGATGCTACCCTATTTCATTGTGAAATCAAGGCTTCTCTCAGTGGTTGAATAGCGCACTGGATAACATGTTCGCCCAGGACTTGAGAGAAAAGGGTACACGTAGGAATACAGTAACATCACTATAATATACCAATAACAGGCACTGGGCTGGACACCTAACATTACCTTAACCTGCCATTGTAAACTTTTCTATCGCTGCTGTCGGAGGAAAACCTCGTATCTCCATTTTTGACATTTTTCAGTTTTTGACATAATTTGAAAATACCCTTTGCCCTTTACATTGTATGTAATTTCATAATGAATGGACTAAAAGAAACGGCCCAAAATGACTTGGAAAAAAGTCTGGTTCCATTGACTTGTGAAAGAGCCTATATTGCACATTTCTTGTATTTTATTTTTCTGAGGTCCACATATTACATTTGTTTGGTTTTGTGTACCTCAAACAGTCATAATTTATCACTTGCTGTTGTGGGAACAAAACCTTGCATCTCCAAAATGGTAACTTTACAGAAGAAGGAAAAAATACACTTTACTTTTAATGTAAGTCAATGGAACCAGACTTTTTTCCAAGTCATTTTGGGCTTTTTCTGTTGGTCCATTCTTCATGAAATTTATAAACAATGTAAACGGCAATGGACATGTTAAAAAAATGGAGATACAAGGTTTTGTTCCGACAGCAGTGATATATATGTGTGTATATATATATATATATATATATATATATATATATATTTATTTACGGTGTCCTTGGATATCTTGAAAGGCACTTATAAATAAAATTCTATGATTTATTGTTATGATTTAGCACTGTTTATATACCACATCAAACTCATATAAACACAAAGTGAGGAAAATTCAGTTTTTGGTGAAATGTCCCCTTTTAAATATGTAAGAATGACACCTGTTTTGAATCTTCTTTGTCTGTTTTTTTGTTTGTTGCAATAAATAAGATCAAAGTGAGATGGAAAAAGTGTATACTTTATTAGATACAACAAATTTTTCTTTTGGATAAATAGTTTTCACTCAAAATAAACAAACTGCAGTGCACAGTACGTCACAGTATGTCATACTGCAATATTAATAGCATAGCATTTCGCATATCTTTAAACACTGTAAGGAAATTGTATTATGGCAATGATACTGTGGGCCTATTACAGAGCATCGTGGGAGGCTTTCTGTTATTAAACAACCCATAAACAATTAAAATCCATGTCAACATTTTTCCATGATGAGTTACCATTAACTACCTGTTGCTGCAACCGTTCTTCTGAAACAGCCAAGCTATTCTTAAACTCAGTCCATGTGCTTCCACAGATGCAGAACTCAGTGCTGCTGACCAATCCTGGAGTTTCCCAGCTGTGCATACGTGCTGATGGGAAGATTGTGGCAGCGGCTGGCTGGGACGGCAGCGTGCGGGTTTTCGGCTGGAAGAGACTGAAGCCTCTCGCCGTCCTGCAGCACCACAAGGATTTGGTTCACAGCGTGGCCTTCTCAGACCATCCCGAGCCCTCGCAGAGACTGATGGCAGCAGGATCCAAGGACCAGCGCATCAGCCTGTGGTCTATTTACAGTGAAAGCTGAGTCCAGGTTTTGGAGACTGAGCTTCAAAGTGTCTTCTCCTTAAATCCTGGTGGTAAAATAATATTAAAAGAATAAGGTACAGCCTGTTGGCTGCCACACATATTAGCAGTTTGACTTTTGAAGGGTTCCTGCTGATATACATCACATTATCATGCACTGGGTACCTTAAAGGCCAGGCTTTTTTACATGGCTGCATGCCATCTCGGTCACCTCGGTTTCTTCTTATGGTGAGAACCAAGCTGTGCTAGTTAATATAGGCTGCTTACCTAGTTAGTGAGTAGTGTTGACCATGAAGTGCAAAAGTTCAGCACTTTGAAAAACATGACAATCTTCATCCCTTGGCTCTAAACCTCTATGCCTGTTGCTGTAAAAGGGAGGCTTCTGGTTGATTAGGCTTCACCTGCTGTGGTATATGAAGCTGAAGTTGGCTTCGTATTACACTATTTAAGGTGGAACGGAAAATTCCAATAAGAAGCTGATGAAGAAAACGCCAGCTTGTTCTGGTAACTAAGGTTAGCCAGGTAAATGTGAGGTCAGCAGATGTAATATTAAGTGTTTTCCTCTCATTATGGTAATGGGGTGGGTACCTTTTTAACGGCTTAGCTACAGTGAAGTAGGCTAGTTGGCAATCATCACTATAGTGACGTCTCTGGGACATACTTCAAGCGTACTGGGACATACTTCAGGCTTGCTGCCCCACTGCGCAGTCTACACATTTATAACTCTGAATAAAGTGGATTTGTTACCCAGCACAGAAGCATGAATAATCAGCAATAGTCAATTCAATAACTAGATCAGGGGTCGGCAACCCAAATGTTCAGAAGAGCCATTTTGTCCTTTCAACAAAAAATCCAACGACCTTGGGAGCCACAACATTTTATGTCCATTTTACCATCTTGGCTGTGAATATGTCTTAGAATGTGCTGATGTACTGAAATAGGCTAAAAAATATAATATTAACAAACACGCAGACTTACTTTGCTCTGCTTTAAGGTTTCGCACAACTGTAGCTGCTTTTCTCACATCTCTAGCAGGAATCAAAAGTAGAACGGTTTCTTGTAAAACGTCTCTCAACGTTTGATTTTTTAATGAGGCTGAAGTCGCTTCTCATTCGCCAGCTTCTTGTTTGAATTTTCCCGTTCTACCTTAAATTGCGCCTCAGATGCCAGAATGTAACTGCTGCACCATTTAAGATGGAACGGGAAAATTCAAATAGGAAGCTGACGAACGAGAAGCTGGCTTTTTAGTGTTTGACAGTTTTTCTTTGCGGATTAAACGCATCAGGAAACCAGCTGGAGTGATTATAAATGCAAATAAGTCCATTTGTCTCCAAATTATTGATGTTCTCTTTGCGTTTCTTTAGCTGTTAGCTAGGCGAGATTGTTATCTGGGTTTTAGGGTTAAAGCTTGGTGAATTAGCAGCTGTCGGTTACATTAACTTCAGCGTTTAAGACCATTTATTGTTAAACTGTGTTGAACGATCAGCAGAGCTTTATTTTACTGTAAAGGAGGTTTATTTTATTTTTACCTAAAAAATCGAATTCTGCTGTGGAGCCACAACAGGGCAGTTAAAGAGCTGCATGTTGCCGACCCCTGGACTAAATAAAGAAGTGATGCCTTCAACACTTGGAGACCATATATCCATTCGTTCAAGCCATGTGTTCCAACTTGGCTCGCGTTTCTTTGTGTTTATCCACGGCTGCTGAACCTAACGTGTGTATGTGCCGTATGCTGCAGGCGTAATCCAAGTCCTTGAGCATGCCAACCTGGCATTCCTCACCAAAGTGTGCCATTCCTGTGGTTGTTGGGAGTACCTAGAAAGTTCTTTCCTTGTTCACACTGGTTCATTTGCCTTGTTGTTTTTTCCCTAGTACTCAAGACACCTGCTGACCTTAAAATGGGTTGTATGGAGAATGTTTGGTCAGTGTATCCTGGGCTTTATGGTACAAACCACCATAGTGCACCATTACCATTGCTCTGCTGCTACATCAGTAGCTCTCTCAACCACTTTGCCCCCCATCACCCTCCTCATCCATCCTCATATTAACACTCCCCTGTCCTCAAAGGTCACAGTCCCTACTGGATTTGGTGCTTTTATGTTTTTGAAAGGTAATAAAAATCAAGGTTTCTGCATAATTGAAGAGTTAAGATGTAAACAAAGTCACTGAGATTGATTTGAAATGCGCCTTTACAGGGATGGTAATAGGAACCAGACATGTAAAGCCTCTTAAAGCTCCCTCACAGAAGGATATTGAATAAAATGAGTACGAATGTGCTGCCTGATGCCCGAGATGTTATTTTGCAGTAGGTTTTAGTGAAGTTTTTGGTGTCGAACATGTTCTTTTAAATCAGTTCAGGGCAGAGAGGCACATTTAAGGCATTGTAAGGCAAGATAGTCCCCAAAGAAAACGTATTTTTTTAGAATTACTGCTGTTTATCATCATCAGCATTACATATAAAACTCAGAAGACATGTATAAGTTCACTGGTCATTTTCAGTAGTGGATAAAAAATAGCTGTATTTGTGTCGTAGACGTTGTGACCCCTGGTTCCCTTCACCACCACTGTAAAGAAATCCGAATCAGTAAGTTTCTCTATGATGAACCATTTCACATCAGACCACTCTCAATGACTTTGTTTACATCATGAATTCTTTAGATGTTGAAAAAAGTATTTTTCGTATTATTTAGAAATCCTTTATGCTTCATTCCTATGGAGGAGCTCAGCGGTCAAAAGGGCTCCAGGCTGCACGTCTTGTTTTAATTCATCACCGAAGGTCACCTCAACTCCACACACACAAACCAACAAACCCGAGTTGTTTTAATCCGTTATATTGTCATTCTCTGAGCCGGGCCTTTTTCCGTCCGCGCGCTGTTTGCTTTGCTGCTGGGAGATGTGCTTCAGTAGACTTGTATTTGCGCTATGAGTCGCACCTGAGCGACAGTGTGTAATTCACGGCTGTTTTTCCAAACGTGCTGGTGAGCTTAAACGCTGCCCTCTGGACTGACCCGGCCCGCATTCATCACTACGGGGCTAATCACTAGCGCGCGGACAGGCCTGTTTGTTAACAAGATTCATTGGGCCGGCTTAGCGGCATTTAATTTGGTCTGTAACAAAAGCCTCCTTTGGAAGCAGCTCTGCTGTAGCCAAATTAATTGCGACATTGTTCGTGTTGTTGTGTTTGTTTTACTAAACCGAGCTCTATTAATTGAATGGGGAAGCACTGACGTGAAATAATGAACTGGTTTAAACTAAATAAATGGGTTGTTTTTATGTGAGCGTGATTAATTTTTATTTGCATATTCAGTGATGTATACTTCTTCTTTAGGGACAAGGAGTACTTCATTCAATCCTGACTCGTGGGCAGCCTCAGAGGAAAAAATAGAGCTATCATAAACTATAGATGTGTTTCTGTCTCACAATGTTGCCATAGAAATGCACAAAATTGTAGTTCTGCAGTTTTATATCTCATGACTGTAACTAGGTTTGCCTGTGTTTTAATTAGCTAAAACTAATGTTTTATAATGAGTCTGTTTGTTGCATACGTAGCAGGTTAAATCATTCAGCCATAAATGGAAATCGAGTCAATGAAACCTTTTTATCCCATTGGGCACAGATTTTTTTCTGTTTGACCAAAGTAGCTCAAATTTGGTGTCAGGCCACTTTGTGGCACTGCCTGTCCAATGAACGTTTGAAGTTTTTAATTACTCCCATATTTCTAATATTAACCAAAATAATTCATATCTCTAATATTCAGACAGCAATTTCTTTCCAATTTCTTACCTGTATTCACAGTTTACCTGTATATTATTGTCATTTGACTTGTTCTGAACAATGTGGTTATTCATACATGTGTATATGTGCGTATATATCTCATATTTGTGAGTACAGAAAAAGAGAATTGGTGGATTTATGATGGAGGGAGTTGTTAAACTGTTATACCTCAAAGTGGCTTCTGACATCATGAATTCTATACAGCACATTTTTTTTTTGACGAGTGTGTAAGATATGTTGCGAAACTGTTGAGATTTTGGCTTATTTTATCAGTTTATGACAACTGATCAGATCAGAGATACACAATTGTTCCCTAAAATACATCAAAGTTATTAAAAAATAATAAGAAGAATTAACCTTTTGGACCAAAGGTTAAAAAGTACAGTCAGACAGTCGGACACTGTGAAGCTGTAAGACCAGCTGCAGAAAAGTACAATTAAAATTGCAGTATGAATATAAATGGATTAATAGCTTAACCCCTTAACAAGCCACGGGCTCAGCAGCAGGGCCAGAGTGTTATTACACACTGCTATAACATAAGAACAGCTCCATTAGTTTGCATCGAAGTCCCTGTAGTTACTGAATAATAAACCTGGATTGTTAAGGTGTTTAAGTTGTTTTGACAGTTGTTTACAGTAAGGATAAATTACCAAGTACGTTTTTAGGGCAGTGAACGTGTGGCCTATATTTACACTATCCCATATAATTTGATGTCACAAAATACCTGAATCTACCCCTGATTCCCTACTCGAGAGAAGTCAGAGTAAAACATTAGGCTATGATTCATAATAAAAGTCTTTTGTTTTTGGCTCCTTTGGGTCACGAAGCAATTTGCAGTATCATTTTAAGTGTAGTATTACAATATTACAGAAGCAGGAAATATGGGTTAGCATGTTTGGCAATATGACACTCACAGGGTCCTGAATGATAAAGCCACTCTTTTCTTCAACCTCTTATTGACCAGGGTATATTTTGGTTTGTCCATCTGAATTTACATGACCAAGTCGTAAGGCAGATTATTCAGTAACTGCATTACATAAATGTCCGTTTTTATTTAATTAATTAATTAATTTATTTATTGTAAAAGTTCCCCTCAAATGAACAGAACGTTTTATGATCATACACATATTGCTTTATGCTTACAATTTACTGCTAGAAGCCAAAAATCTTAGACCCTCTTTGTATTATTTTATTAAAGTAATTTGTACAGAGCAGATCACTGAAGAGACGCCATCTGTTTATAGTTTATAGCCCAGATTTGTGGAAAAATGGGTCGACTTTCAGTAGAAAAAAAAATTGAGTTCAGCTTCTTTTATTATAAGGGTTTAAAATGACATCACCCATCTATTTGACTGGAAAGAAGACAGTTACAGCTCTCATACGACCCCCACCTTTAGAATGTAGCTTATGAAATATGAAAGTTATGAAGAATATGACGAAGTGCGTTTTGGAACCACCGGTGGTCTCAAGGAGTTGAAAACGTTAAAGGGCAGTTACACTGATGAGTGGTCACGATGTCTACAACACAGATATAACTATTTTATTAACTATCCAAAATCACCAGTGAACCCACACGTCTTTTCAGTTTTTATATGTGATGCTGATGATGGTAAAATAGTGGTAAATCTTAAATAAATAATAAATAAATTTTCTTTTGGGGACTATTTTGCCTTATTAGGTCCTGCATGTACCGCTATCATGAACAGATCCGAATATATAGGTTTCAGGCCAAAACTACTGAAGTGAAAAATGTCTCGTGACCATTTTGTTTAATTACTTTCTGAGAAGGACCTTTTAGAGGAATCAGACTCCTCAGACTGTGATCGGAGTTTCTCTAGGACGTATAATGAGCCTTTTCACAGTAGTTTCGTTTACCTAATTCAGGAAAAATAAGTAAGAGCAGAAATTGTAATGAACAGTCATGTCTTAAAGTGTCCCCTAACACCTGATGGCCTGTTGAATGCAGCCTATTGTTGGACGGTATAGAAGCTAATAATGAGAAGAGGGAGGCAATAACAATCGCCAATGAGGTCCAAGTGAACTCTTTAAAGTGGAGGAAATGGGAATCTTCCCATCCCGTCCAGTTGCCCTCCATATGACGTGAATCCATCATGAAGCCACGCGGGGATTCCACAGAAGATCAAACGGCACGCGGCCGTTCTGCCCCACAAAAGGGCAAGTGGCCTTGGGATATCCCATTAGACTGTACAGGATGGGGGCTGGTGGAGGGTGGAACTGTAGAGGCCATCCTCTTAGAGGAAAATAACAGCAGGCGAGTCGCCGGTCGGAGAGGAAGACAAAACAGTTCGTGCCACCCTCGGCCTTCGAGAGCCCGGCCCTCGTCGTCCCTGGACGTCCCATTGGAAGCCTTTGGTCCG